TTACACAGCTTTACAAATTTTAATTGTTTTAATTACCATTCCTTTCAAAAACACAACACAAATAACTACTGTACCAAACGTCTCTTTTTTTTTGTATTCATTCATCCTATATTGTTTTCTTCTTAAATCTGCACATTTAAGATGATAGTTTTTAAAGTTTTGCCTCTTTTGTAGAAGGCCTCAAGGTATGTTTATTTTCATGACTCCTTTTTATTAAAATTTCTTCAAGGCCCCCTCAGCTTGTCCTCACAGTTATACCACCTTTCTACCCCTATAAAGTATCATGACTACGTGTATGTATATACATTTAAAATGCATGTGTCCGTACATATACACAAAAAATCAACTTCAGACGAGGTAAAGATGTGTGTATATCTATTTTTAACTAAAGTTTGGTTTTGATGGGAGATAACTTTTTTCCTAAAGAGATGACCACTTGTCTCTATACTATTTATTGAATGGGTCATTCATTCTTTCCTCACTGATTTAAAATACCTTTTTAAAATAAACTGTATTCCTGAAAAAAAAAAAAAAAGGAAGAAACAGTATGAATCTAGAGGCACCTCAACAACCACACCTCTTCTTAGGATGGTGACCTTCCTGGCATCCTGCACGTGTAGGCTATTTCTGCATGCCACACAGTTTGAAAATATAATTGGCTACCTTTCAGGTTTTTTTCCTAGTTTTCATTTCTCACCACAGAGGCTTGACCTTAGCTCTGAAAATCCATTGTTCCTTGATCAGTTAGTTGGAGTTTATTTTCAGCTGTATTTTTAGAGTCTAGGTAATGTCCTTTCAAATCTTTCTAGTATGTATTAATTATGGATATTTTGTGACGAAGTCTGGAAATAATTCTAAGGCACTTAATGTCAATGGTAAAGGGCAAATCAAAAAGAAAAAAATTTTACTCAATTACAAGTTGGTCCCCAGATTCAGAGCTCGTAAAAAATGCATGGTTTTTTTTCAGAATGGAACACAATGAAATCAAATTAGAAGGTTTTAAAAAATATGAGGGTGATATTTAGGTTAGAAAACAGTTACGTGCCTGAAACTTTCTCTTTCTAATCTGATTTTCTATTATTCATGTAGAAGCACTTTCCTTACTGCAAGCACAAAACCCAAAGATAGCTGTTTTCTCTAGTCAGTAATGATAAATTCACAAAGTTATAGGGTTGCTCAATAAAGTGAGATAAATTCATTCCTTCTTGTTTACAAAATTTAGAGTTATGAATTATGTTGTAAGAAAGTTTTTTATTAAAATGTCTTTTTTGTTTGCTTTGGAACAGTGGCAAGAATAGATTAATCTAAATTCCTATGTATAACTGCTTATTTTTTGTCTACTTTTCATTTGCCTGCTTTGTATTTCCATGACAATTTTTTTCTCTAATAAAAGACAAAAGTACTAGAAGTAGGTTTCTACAACACCTCGCAAAATGAGCTGACTTGTAAGAGATGGGTGGATACGGGCATACTGAGGCACACAGGTGGGGCCAATGTTGGCACCCTCAAGGTATGTTTATTTTCATGACTCCGTTTTATTAAAATTTCTTCAAGGCCCCCTCTGTTTACATGGTTAAACAGGGGGATCTAAATAATCTCCTCTCAGGAATTTGACTTAAACTACTCACTTTTTTATCCATTTCTAACAAAGAAAACAAGGAAAGTATTGTTGCTTCTTTTCAGGAATGTGTGATTCAGGGCTGTTTCAGGATGAGGGTCTCTTTTCACTGGGGGCTTTTCCACATGCCAGCCTCTATGCACCACATACCCACTCCTCATTTATATTGGATAATGAGAGGGGCAGCTGGAGACACTTGCTGGGCAGAGCAGGGAAGTAAATAAACACATGAAGTGACTCTATGCCAAAAATTCACACCAGCCCTGGCAGAAGGCAGGAGAAGGCAAAGGGACTGAAGAGGAAGAACTCCCCACAACTCCCACCAGCTGACCACTCAGCCAGGAGACCTGGGTTCTAGCCTTGGATCTGCCACTGTTTGATTTTCCCCCAGGCCATACCAGCAAACTCTCTGGATCTCCATTCATGGCCTATAAAGTGGTACAGGAGTCTGTTTAGACTAAAGCATATCGTTATAACACAATATACTACCAATAAAAATTAAACCAAAGGGGCCTCGGCTCACACCTTCAGGAGGTGCCATAGAGACCACAAAGTTCAATCAACCACCACCATTCACCTGCATGCAACTATTCAAGCTCATGGATCAAACATGAGATACTAGCGAAAGTTCTTAATAGTCCTTAATATCAGTATATTCTAAAACTATCAACTAGCTTCCTTTTTGTCATTTATATATTAACATGGTATTTAAACCCTGAGACAAAAATGTAATTTTCCACAATCAAAAATAATACATTTGCTGAATAATGTGGTTCTTCCCCATTGACTGTTACCTGGGGAATAGAGAATGTACTGTTAAAACCAAAATACACTTTTTATGCAGAAACTATTTCATATCTAGGAATTTCTTTATTTGTCCAAGATGAGAATTAGAAGCAGTGACAGAGTCGGCTTCTCAACCTTTTCCTGGAGCATCTGGTTTCTCTACCCCGACAATGATCCGAAGGGCTGCTTTTGGAGGGAAAGATTTCCGACTTCATTCAATTTCTTGATCTCTATTCCATAAACTACCCAGCCCAGAAGAAATGTGAGCTCCAAAACTGAGAGACCAAGTTACTGGACACCAGTTTACTAACTTGTCTCATGGTCAGCATTCCTCTAATCCCTGTCTCTAAAGGTACTCAAGTAACATGAGTTAGTTCTTTCGATTCTTCTAAATTAAAAAAAAAAGAAGAAGAAGAATTCTATGGAAAAAAAAATAACTTAATGACTATTAAATTCTATTTATATTATTCTAAATTTCCTGCCACTCTGTTTATACGCTAATGTACATACAGATATCAGATGAAATCAGTGAATACATGTTATTTTGAGTTCTATTTTTTCTTTTGCTTAACTTGATACATAGAAATGTGTATGAAATATACATAGTGCACACACTTGTCATTTTGAATTATAGCTTTTATTATATGGTGCCAAATTGTTTGCTAGGATTATTGAGTCAATTTTCATTGCTGTCAAAAACATGAAGATATTAGATTCATTATAATCTAGGACACATTTAGGTTTTACTATTTTTATTTATTTTTGCTACTTTGATGGGTGTCTTGCCACTCTTCTAGAGCATACTTATTAATTTTTATATTAAGTATACACATATGTATCTGCTAGCAAACAATTTCAGGAAAAAGACAGTTTGGCCATTAAAGAATGGAACTATGAAAAAAATGCAGAAGAAATTCATTCACATATTTGGAATAGAATCATATTTGGACCAAAATTATGGCTTCCTTTTGATTTTGCTGTTTTATCAAGGACACATGGCACATCTGCTGTAAAATTGCATGTCCATTAAACTTGTAAAAGTTTAAGACTTTGTATTCGCTGTTTATTGGGTGTGTTATCTGGACTTTCAACTGGCAGGTGGTACGCCGAGTCATTCTCTCTCCCTCTTGTGCTTTCTCTACTTCACGAGCCCACTAGTGTACAGTATAAATTGCTTAACTTTGATTTTTATTAATTCAATAACCACAGAAAGTATTTAATAACTTATAATAATCATTTAACAACTCAGGTTTTATAGTATATAGGATGTGAGAATGTGCATGTCGCATACACGCAAAAAATACACGAAAATCTGCACCATGTTATTTGTTAGAGAATAAAGATAACTTTCACCAAAACATGGTGAAAGTGTGAAGTTCTAATAGTAATAGTGAATGTCAAGACAAAGTGCATTAAGCAAAACCTTATTTGTTCACTCACTCATTTATTCACAACCTTTTTTGAGCAGCACTACAACATGTGCAGTGGAGAACAGAAAGATGAGTTCTGTTGCCCGAGAAGTTTACCATATATGAAGGGCATAGGAGATGTCGACACAAATAACTACTGTACCAAATGGACCTCTAACAGGGACCACAGAGCAATGACAACAATGCAGGAGAAGAGATGCGTTATTTCTCCCAGGAAGAATGGAGGAAAAAACTTTCAGCTGAGTCTTAAAGGATGGTAGGACTTAAACAGACACATGGCAACAGCATGAGCAAAGGAACACAGGCCAAAGGAAGAAAAAAAAAAGGGACATTTAGGTTCCACAGTTAGGTAGATATTAAGGAGCATGAATGGGTTAGTGGGTGATAACACTGCATGGGAAGGTTGCCCAGACCATGGAAAGCCATGAATATCCGACCAACTGATGAGCCCTAAGTCAGACAACTAGGGAGAGTCCACATGGTAGCCATGTACCTGTGCTTCCAGAAGTGTGTAGGATGGACTGGAGGAAGTGCTAATGGAATCAGAGACCAGCATTACTACCATGGCACAGATGAAAAAGAGTGAGGGTTTGAACAAGGAGAGTAGAGAGTGAGGGACATGTGAGAGGAAGTAGGGTTTTGTAGTCATGGAACTTAATGACTAATATTATACATATTGCGCATATTAAAAATTGAATGGAATTTAAAAGGAAATTATAGAATCAGTTTTCTGTAGAAATGTTCAGAATTTTTTCTACTGACCTAATTTCTATGATTGGCATTATTAAAAACTTGTAAGTAAAAACACCTTTTGTGATAGGTCCTTGGCCTCCAATGCTAGCTTAAGAAAACAGTCTTATTCTAATGAAAATAATATGCATCAGTTAGTATTTTTATAGTACTGTGTTCCAATTTTAAATTAAGAAGATGGAAACTTGAGTTCTATTTTTTCTATACGAAATTTATTTCTAAAACACCAGTATCATAAAGTGGCCCTTTGCAGAGAACTTGCAGCTGTCCCCCTAGTATTTTATATTTAAAAATGCAAAGTGCTGTGCTCCCACTTATTCGGAGAGATGAAATTGATGTTCTGAGTCACTGCCAGACATTTGTAACTAAGTCTTTCAACAGCAACAGCTGCTCTGGATTTCAAATCGCTCAAGCGAATGCAGAACGCAGTGCGAGCTCTGGATAATGACGCGGGGGAGAGGAAATGAAGAAGACACAGAAAGGACATGTAATCGAAAGGCCACATTTCTTTATGAGGCATTAACATATCTGATTTCCGGTCTAAGATTGGGTAGCTAACATACAAAGCGCTTACCTCATTACAAACAGAACTGGACTACATAGGAAGATGTTAGAAAAAGAAAAAAAAAAAGTAAATGCAGAACCATCTGTCAATGACTCTACGGAAAACAGGCTTACCTGAAAAATCAAGAGCGCACACTCCTCTCTGGTGTTGTCCTCTCAACAGTGACAAGCATTTCAGAGTCTGTGTGTCCCACACATGAATAGCAGCATCTCTTCCAACCTTAAATAACAGGATGCGTGTTATTAACTACTTATAAGTTATGAGAATAATTTTGTTCTTTAGAGTTAAGTGTTGCTCAGAAATCAAAATATTCACATTTGGAAAACTGGAAGACTCTCAGAAATCATCTGGTCCAACTCCGTTATTTTCCAGATAAGAAAACTAAGGTATACAGAGTGTAAGAAGATTGTTCTGGCAGCAGGTTGGGTGTTAGCATTGCCTAACCTGGTGCATGGCTCCTAGTTAAGAGACTTTTAAAACTCTAATTCCAATGTCCGCAGTGATTTGCTTTTGTCAGTTAGTTCTACTTTGCCTTTCCCCACCTTCTCAACTCTACACAAGATTCCACTTCTTGGTCAAGACAGTCAGCTCTATATTGTCATGGCACTATCATCACTTAACCTACTTCAAGAAGCCTGGCCCTGCTTCTCCCCTGGAAATGACAGTTTCATGGCTTAACTCTCTGTCATTAAGGTGGATTCTTCTTGAAGGGAATACTAGCTTCCATCGCACTAATTCCCAATAATAGAGAAAAGCATAATAGTAAGTGGTTTTCTTCATTTATAATACATGGGGGGAAACCTGTCAGGTATAATGACTCTAAAAAGAAAAATGGGACATAAACCTATGTGCATAACTGAGCAGAATTCTGCCAACTCCTATACTGGTCTGTGGAGACACAGTTACCCTTGGTGTGGCTGTGGGCATACTGGTGTGTCACAGGTTTGCCTCCCACCCATTACAGTATAGAGTGCAGTGTCTCCTCAGGGGTTTATGTAAAGAACCAATCTCTATTTTTTTCTTTCAAAGGAAGGTTGCTGAATAACGATGAGCCAAACATTTGTCTATAGGAAAGACAAAAAAAAAAAGGTGGGGGGTGGGGGACAAAATGGTGATCAATTACTTATAAAACAATGTCAGCCAATGCAGAATAAGTGGTCTAGTTTGCAGCTGGGGCAGCAAACCAGTGTGTCAACTAACGGCTCTTTCCTTTTAGAGGATTGTAGTCCTTTTACAAATGAAATAAAAGCTATGGATTCTTCTCCCCCAAAATGCACATTTCTGGAGTTGACTTCTTTAGTTTTGGCCTCAGTTTCATTCATAGATCTCATGAATACCAGCCTATGAACCCTGTTCAAAGACTTCTACCACCTATATGTCAAGTCTCAGAAATAATTAGTTGTCTCATGTTAACCTCTGACCTTCATTCAAGAGTTTTTCTTAGAGCTTTCAACTTAGAAACTATTGAGAATCAGTTGGCCTGTAGTTAAAAACCTATGATAAAACTGAACAAAAATATAATCTGTGCATTGGAAGAAAAGAGTACAAAACTGAAAATACTGTTGACAATATTCTCGCTTTATTAGCAAGGTAATAAATCCGAGTTTAACAAATTATTTTTTACTAAGTTAACTCTACCCTTTTCTTTTCCCCACACAAAATGACTAAATGTAAGGCTCTGTTTTGAGTAGCTTTTCAATTATAGACTCGATCCAAAGTTTAAATATTCCAAAATGGTTCAGTTGAAATTTAGTTTTTTGAAAAGCTAATAGAAAATAATAAATTAGCCCAAATCATGTGACTTTAAATTAAAAAAAAAATACTGTGAAACAATGGTTCATTCAACAAACATCTTGAGTACCTAGGGTATATTATGTACTAGATATACAGTGATCAGGAAAGTATAAAAAGACTATGTATTCATTGAACTTGCATTATTTGTCCTAGCTAATCCTATTCACAGATCTCACCATATTAGGATGAGAATCTCGCAGAGGCTTCTCAATCATCCTAGAATGTTGGCTGATTCCCCCACTGTTATGAAATGATCCAGCATTCACCGAATCTCCAGCTTCCTGCCTCAGGTTTATTTCTACCAAGTATTTCTTGAATTTCTAATATGTAAACTGGATTCAAAATTAAATCCTCTCTCTCCAGCTAGGCCCTCATCTTAGAGAAGAGATATATACCTGCCCAGTGGCCACGTAGTCCTTCACTGGGTGGATGGTCAGGCTGAGAATGTCATCATCGTGCCCCAGGTACAGCCTCTGGGAGTGTTGCTGCCTGTTGTACACGACAGCGACTGCGGCAATGTGATAGACAACTTCTCCAGCTTGTGTGTAGAACAGATTGTTTCTACAGTCGTAGCCTCTGTAACTGAAGCACAGGTCCAAGAAATACACAGTATTTGCATAAACAGTGAATGAACAGAGCAGAAGTTGTCAGAAGGTAAAGCTAACATCTGGAATGCGCAAGCAGAAACCCAGGTATCTTCATAGCTGCTTAACTTCAATGGGGGAATGAGGACTTCTGAGGGCATGTGATGATTTTCTGAGGGGAAAATGGGCATTGATAATTTTAACAGAATTTGTTTCCAGATCCTCAGCTACTGTATACGTTCTTTCTTAAAACTGATCCGTCTGAGAACACACCTGTGGCGAGGTGGCTCTCCTTTCCCACTTCCCCTTCACAATTGTCTTGCTCCCACTTTAGGAAGTCATTGCTCTCATCCATCTGGAATCTTACTCTGTGTATTACCCTGGAATGTTGAACCTTCCAGGGATGCCAAAACAAAGGGACAATTAAAAATGCAGGAGTGGATGTTGAAGAGTGAACAATTTCAATGACTGGGTAAGAAATCCTTTTGAAAATCAAGTGATTTCCAATTTTCAGCTTTTAACATAATTAAAGAACGATTTAATTGAATTGTTAGCTGATAGATCATTAGACTATATTTTGTGTGATATATTGAAATTATAATATATATTTTCGGCCTATAACTCAAGAGAAATTTAAAGAACTGAATAATGTTGCTATGATAAAATTGTTTCCATTCTCACTGACTTATTTACGTGAATAAGCTTTCTCAATGCTTACATATATTAAAAAATGAAAAATGGAAACAGACTCAATGCTAAACTCTGTCACACTCTAGCAGTAAGTATGCATATATATCTGAACTCACTGAAAAATTTCTATCTTATTAAAAGAATTTTTCCAATAAAATCTTTATGTTTAATACCTTATTAGAATTTGTACTATATTTAGACTGATTTGGTCTGCTGGGTACTAATAGTTGTAACAATAATTCAATCGAGAAAAAAATTGTTAACACTTAGAGCAGCTGTGCAATAGAAATATTATTGAGCAACACAGGTACTTTAAATTTTTCTGATGGTCATGTTTAAAAAAATAAATGAAATTTATTATAAAAACATTTAACCTAATATGTCTCAAATATTATGTCTACATGTAATCAGTATAAAACATTTTAATGATATATTACATTCTTTTTTCATGCTAATTCTTTGAAATCTGGTGTACATTTTGCACAGACTAGCCTTATTTCAAGTGTTCAGTGGCTACAATTGGATAGCATACTGGACAACACAGAATTAGAGTCTAATGGTCGTAAGAAACTAAGTTAAAATTGAACCGACAGACATTTTTGAATCCATAGCAGAAGGTATGATAAGGTAATCAATAAGAGACTTTCATGCATAAAAAATATTATGCCAGGGTAAAATTCCGTAGGAGATGTAGAATAAAAATACGAGTTCAAGGAGATGTATGAATGATGTGAAATTTTCTACTTTTATAGAAGAACTTGTTTATGTTTTTAAATTGATGATGGTGAGGACGTGGTTGCATAGTATAGCAGTTAGCATGTCTGCTTTACACACAGAAGGTCCTGGGTTCACAACCCAGTGGAGCCACAGTCCATGGTCTATGGTCATGACACCCTGAACAAGCCTGATGTCTGATCTTGGAAGCCAAGCAGGGTCGGGCCTGGTTAGTACTTGGATGGGAGACCACCTAGGAAGACCAGGTGCTGTAAGCATAAATAAAAATAAATAATAATAAATAAATTGATTATGGTGAGAATCAAATATCTATGGTATCAAGGTTCCATTGGATCCATTTTTAAATGGATGTGTTTATAAAATAGTAGACCTTATAGTCTTCACAACCATTTATACTTTTGCTGAAAAATTTTAAATGTCAACTTAAAGTATGGAAGGTTGTACATAATTTTCAAAATTCAAAATGATTTTGGGCATATGTGAGCAATAATGTTTGAAGAAAACATTGTTCTAGTCAGAGCCAAGCAAAATAGAGCAGAAGTTATGGGGATAAAGGAAACAGAGGTGGTGGAGAGTATTAAGTGAAATAACAACGACCTGCAGTAACATATGCATCATGGAAGTACATGAGGCATGAAAAATCTAGATACACACACACATTGAAATGGCCACCAAACATCGACTGGACAGAGAATAGTAGTTAAAATATTAATCACAGGTAAGTGCAAATTGGAGAGAAGAGCCAGTCTGAAGTGGGAAAGCACAGAGTACAGCAGACCTCCTTAGCCTGGTGATAAAGCTTGTGACAGGCCACCCACCCGTGTATGAACTGGAGTTTCAAGCTGTCCTCAGGAGCCTTTTCTCGTTTGAGGAAGGGCACTGCATGGTTTTTCTCTTTACTTTGTTGCTTTAGCTGAGGTAGATCTTCTTTGTAAACCTTGAAGTATAACAAATACATTTAGTTGAGACTCTTTTCTTCAGGTTTCAAAAACATTAATATCTTGACATTCTCAGGAAATCTTTAATTGCAGGAAATCATGTTTTTGAGAACATGAAGCTAGAAATGGTCACAAGAGACAAAGAAGGTCATTATATAATGATAAAGGGGTCAATTCTACATGAAGATATAACAATTGTAAATATTTATAAACCCGACATCAGAGCACCTAAATATATAAAGCACATACTAACAGAACTAAAAGGAGAAATGAACATCAATACAGTCATAGTCGGGGCTGTGATACCCTGCTCTCAATAATGGATAGATCAACCAGACAGAAACAGTAAGGAAACAGGAGAGTTGAACAATTCCATAGATCAAATGACCTAATTGACATATATAAAACATTCCATACAACAGCAGCAGAATACATATTCTTCTCAAGTGCACACAAAACATTTTCCAGGAAACAAAACAAGTCTCAACAAAATCAAGAAGGTAGAAATTACATCGAGTATCTTTTCCAGCCACCATCATTAATAACAGGAGGAAAGGTGGAAAATGTACAAATATGTGGAAATTAGGCAACACACTCCTGAACGAAAATGGATCAAAGAAGAAATCAAATGGGAAATAAAATATCTTGAGACAAATGAAAATGGAAACGTAACATACCAAAACTTATGAGATGCTGCAAAATCAGTCCTAAGAGGAAAGAAAGTTTGTAGCTATAAATGCATACATTAAAAAAAGAGAAAGATCTTAAACAATCTAACATTATACCTCAAGGAACTAGAAAAAGAACAAACTAAGTGAAAAGTTAGTAGAAGGAAGGAAATAATAAAGATTAGAGCAGAAATAAAAGAAATAGAGACTAGGAATAGAAAAAATTAACAGTACTGTTAGTTCTTTGAAAAAATAAACAAAATTGAGAACATAACATATTATCAAATTTTACTTTCTTCTAATGAACAAAACATATCTTTTAAATCACTAGGATATGAAATGTCTTTTCTTAATTTTCCATTATGTTTCTTAAGTAATTTATATTCAGAAAATATATTAATTTTCTAGTCAATAAGAAAGGAATTTATTGGCATTATCAACAAAATATAAATATTTTGTTATAATTTAAAGCAAGAAATTTCTTGATTCTAAATTTGCAAAATGTATACCTCATGAATCATGGTGATCATTCCTTGGAATTATTTTCCTTCCATGGCATCTAGACAAATCAGACTCTGAGGTATAGAGCAAAGCTCTTTGTCTAACCTAGAACCTAATATGTGCCGAGAGAACATTTCCTACAATTTAAATACATAAAAATCAATCTTTTGTCTACCATGTAGTTTATGCCCTCCTACCAAGACATATCAACTTAATACATTATGAATATGAAAAACAATTAGTAATTTCTCATCTTCCTAAAGGAAAGTTTTCATTTGATTAAACTACATTACTAAAAAAAGTATAAAATATTCTTCTAATAAAGTCCTTGTTTAGGATTTGTCTCAAAATCTTTTCTTTTAAAAAGTCATTACTGTTTTGTCTATTACAGATACAGTGAATTAAGCTTTTAAAATCTAAAGATAATTATTCATCTGAATTCGTGATGCTTTCATCAGCTCATCAACTACTTTAGAGCACTGAATTCTAGTCTAGTTACTTCTATTGCTTATTTGAACAGTCTCATAACTTCTGTGGGCCTCAAATTCCCATCTGTTGAAAAGGATAAAAGTCCCTGATCAGGAATAACTCAGGAATATTGTGAGTGTAAATCAAATAGTACAGGTGAAAACTTTGGGAAGTAAGAAGTCAGGTAGAATTTATAAATCCTACGCAAGCATTTCAATAGTCATGTCTCTTCATTCTTTTACTGGCATCATTTTATTAAATAAAAACTTTCTAATTAAAGAAAATTGTTATTCTTTTCTTCATAGATTTTATGAAGAAAAGAATAACATTTTGCTTAAATTTCATTTTTCCTTGATACTAGGGTATAATATTATTTAATGTTTGCATGATATTTCCCCATTAATAATTTCCTTCCAAATCCTTAACTTCAGTAGTTTTTTTGCATAACACATAATAATATCAATACACAAACTGATTTAGTCATGAAGTTGACCTAAACCATCAGTTGGACTGAGTTTTCACTGATAAAATTTTTCATACATTGAATCAATGTATGATTCATACATTGAATCAATTGATGATTATGGGCTGGAAAAAAAAAATTCGAAAAGTGGTAAATTCAGTGTTTATGTAGAGGCAAAGCCAAGTAGCCCATAGAATGCATGCTTTGGAGAGAAGCCCAGATCCACAGTCTTACCCTAATACTACAAGTGATATGAATGTGGGCGAACTACTTAACCTCTCAGGGTCATTGTGGGGTTGGATTTGGTGTATGTAAAGCACAGCTTCGGGCCCCACAGAGACACTTGATTCATGGCAGCTGCCATAGGCCTACATGATAGGCCCATATTGTAAGTCTCCATGGGCAACGGTGACAATTGCTGTGTCTGAAACCTGAAATCTTATTCACTCCATGTTCGTGTACAGAATCTGCATCACATGTCTTTGTTAAATGACAAGAAAATAGAATCCCTACAATTATCACCATAACAAGGTGATATGTCCAGATTCCTCTAAAGGATTGCTCTAATATTCACTGTTTAGTGCTAGAATAAAATGTCTACTTTCAAAAAAATTAGGACCCAAATTGGATGTAATTGCACAACTTTTCTACTAGAGATGATTTCTGACTGGAGAGATAAGGTGCATTGTATTGGGGCTTTTACTTTAATTAAATGGATAATAGTCTCTGTAAGTTAAGAAACCAGGATAACAGCTCACTTACAAAGCTATCATGGCTCCAAAGCTATCTAGTTCTATAAAGAAAATGCATGCTTTCATGATCTACTAAGAGAATACAAAATCTGGTAGCTTGCTTGCAAAAAATATTTTAAAGTTTTAGGTGCTGTCGCTCAGTTTTTAAGCTTTCCTACTAGCTTACACTTAAAAAAAAACTTTCTTAAGGACATGATTGGGTAAATGCCTTACTTTTAACCTGTATTTAAAGACAAAAACTAAGAAATTTTCCTTATTTGTCTTGATTCTCTTCTAAGTGCCAGCCATTTTCCAGTCAATGTCCAAATCCAATGAGATGGAGATTCTGAGTTATAAGGCATTTGTTAGGAGGTTGGCTGCTTACTAACCTGGCGATCATAATTGATTTGAGTTTCTTGCTCAATATCAGAGTCTAACTCCGGCACATCGGATAAATCTGAATCAGATTCTTCACTGTAGGAATCGGTGCCACCTTCTGCAGAAACACGACCCACAAGAAACAAGTAAAAATTCTACAACTCTAAATAGCTAAAAATTGTATTTTATTTCTTCTATGAAAGTAAATAAAAATAACTACACTGTAGTTTTTATTTAATGTAAATTCTTAACACATCTCTCTCACCTTTTGGTTAAGTTCAGCACACCTCTCATCCCCACCCCTTTTCAGAAGAATTAACAGACTAGGAACCCCCCTCCCCCCCACACACACCCATTTCCACACTTCTATTAGATAATAGATCTATGAGTTTTAAATCTTGCTTTGAAAAGGGTAAAAGAAAAAAAGAGAGAAGGAAAAAACGGCAGGTTTTACCAAGGAGAAGGCTGGGACAAAAAGAATTCAACCACTTAGTTCAGTAAAGATCCTGTTTAGCCTGTTTGTATGCCCACCAAGTACCCCTAACTGCCATGGTCAACATCACTGCAGAACTCCATCCAATTAAAACCCTTTCTCACATAGTTTTTCATTTTATTATCTG